ACAGATCTGGTTCTGGAAAAGTACTCCTAAATCAACAGAATATAGTGTATATTGTATAGCGTGGAGGATCCCATAGTCTACAGTCTACTCCAAATATATACTGACAGCAGAGGGATTTTCATAGCTCACACAGTACAAGAGGGCTCTCTGAGTACTCTGTACTGTGTGATTGCAATATGAGAGGGAGATCTCACCAGGCTCATGCTTATACTGGGATGACACCTAAAGGCTGGGAGGGACAATGTCAAAGTTTTAAAATATTTAAAGTTATTGTGATTGATCCCAGATCATTACCTTGGCAGGCCGAAGGCACAATAAGAAGTACAGCGGCTGAGCAAAATTGCTCAGCTACGATATTTCAAAAATGTTAAAGAACTAATGTATTTTAAAGGATTACTCCAAGCACCATGATCACTTCAGTAATTTGAAGTGGTCATGATGCCTGAAGTCTGTACGCACAGCAATTTCCTATTAAACTCTGCACACATGGAGTTTAACCCCTTTGTTGCTAGACGTGTAACTCCATCTCTGGCAGTGTCTTTGGGGCATTATTATCCAGTCTAGTGCAAGAGTTCCGGGCTGGCTAATGTCAATTCTGTGCTTAGTTATAAACAGAGTTGCATTCTTTGGCTGAAAGTGGTTAACTGACACTTTTCAGCCAATGAATGACCTTTCTGGATCAGCATCTGGCCTGTGCAGAAGCCAAATGCATGTCACTGGTTGCATGGTTTAATGGTTATGATGTTTGGAGTAATCCTTCAAATAGAAAAACCGTAAAGCAATTTATTAAAAGAAATATGATTGTAAAAAATATAATTATTATTATTGCCATTTATATAGCGCCAACAGATTCTGTAGCGCTTTACAATATTACGAGAGGGGGGATGTAACTATAAATAGGACAATTACAAGAAAACTTACAGGAACAATAGGTTGACTAGGACCCTGCTCAAAATGAGCTTACAGTCTATAATTGATTATTTTATTCACTTTGTCCCTAACCAACCACATTTAGTGTAGAAGTTGTTTGTGGTTTCCTTATCCTATAAACATCATTTACTCACCTTCTTTCCTTTGCAGCGCCTGTCTTGCCATGGCTGGCCCTGCCTCCACGGCTTAAATATCAGTCTTAAAGACCTCATCCAATCCAATGCTTTCCCAAAGGAATGCCATATTGTGTATGCATGGCAAAATGCTGCTCTGCACTAATTAGCATCTCCTCATAGAGATGCATTGAATCAATGCATTACTATGTTGAGTGCTTAGCGTGTCCATGCGGCGTGTGCAGCACTGAGATAGGAAGCACCTCTAATGAGGTGACTGCCACTAGTGTTGTTACTAAGCAGTAATGTAAACAGGCTTTTCTCTCTATAGACACTAGAACCACATTACGCTGTAGTGGTTCAGGTGACTAAAGGGTCCCTTTGAGCCAAGAACAAGTATTTTGACCTACATAAAAAAAAATTCAAGCACATTACTTACACTATAAATATGAAATACTATTTCCTGTTTTATTTACTGCTTCTCAATCTTTCTTTTGCATATCCTTGTTGACTTACTTTAAATTGTTAGATAGCAAAATAAATACCCAAGAGTTCAGGTTACAGTGTATTAGCACAGAACAATTATGATACATATATAATCATGCTCAGGGCCTTGCACTCGACATCCCCCATAGATGCGAAATGCCACGGTGGTATAGTTATTGAAAAAGAGAGCACGCGTTGATACCCAAAGTCTCCTGTTTTAGTCCAGACTTAAAAGGTTCAGAGAAAAGGAGGGCAAGCAAAGGCTGCAAACAAGAAGTACCTTTCTGTGTTCAAAATTGGTTGTAATGGGGAGAGGGGAAACCATGAGCACTACAGTAAATTGTAGTGGTTATTGTGCTTGGAATGTTCATTTAATGTACATAATTGATGGCAGCATCATTGCAGAACTGCAGCAGGTTAGTTGATATACCAGTCAGACATCAGGCAAAAATCAGCACATTTTTCACTTGAGTTTAGAGCAGAGACTGGAGCCAGCAGAACCTAACTTGGAGAGACAGTTTTTCATCAGCAGAGGGGAGACTGAGCTTGACACTGAGCAGTGGAACTTATCTGAGGAGGTGGAAACTTGGATGGAAACAAAAGGGGATGACATAGATAGCTAAAGAGTACTAGTATGTAAAATGTTACAAGGAAATTAGAATGAAAGGTGGGAGTAACAAAAGGCAGTGTTTTTCTGTGACGTAGGCCGCTGCAAGTTTTGGGGGGAAAAGTTGTCATTCTATGTATTCGAGACTGCTGTGAGGTTCTGAGATCTGAGTATTTTCTAAATAGGATGGAGATTGATGCCTGCATGCAGTGGCGGAAAACAATTCAATCACTATTATTCCAGATGATATGGAATGCAGAAGGGGGACTAATTTTGTAGCAGTGATGGGTAATGAGTTGCAGAAATGAAAGAAAAGGGGAAGCCATATTAAGGGTGAGAGGAATGTAAAAGATGGGAAAAGAAACAGTGATTTTTAGACTCACACATCTGTCCCTTAGTATCTTGTAAAACTTGGCGCTCAAAAGACAGGTTTAAAAATATTGGCCATAGCGGCTGTAGGCTTTGATAAGTTTACCCGTACTATTATTGTCTGCTGTTTACAAGACTGGCTGACTAGTTTTGTTCTCTTTCCATCATATATCTTGCTTTATGGCTGTCATATACTTGCGTCACTTAAGCTCACAAGGATTAAATAGGATTTGTCTCTTTGGTATTTTTTTTTTCGTCCCTGTGTCTTGGTGATAGATCACAGACCCTGAATACAAAAGTTGCCAATGGCAGAGTCCACAGACTCTTCTTTTGTGGCTTAAAGCACCACTATAGGCACCCAGACCACTTCAGCTTAATGAAGCGGTCTGGGTGCCTGGTCCAGCTAGGTTTAACCCTTTTTTTTTTTTTTCATAAACATAGCAGTTTCAGAGAAACTGCTATGTTTATACTAGGGTTAATCCAGCCTCTAGTGGCTGTCTCATTGACAGCCGCTAGTGGGCTTCCGCGCTTCTCACTGTGATTTTCACAGTGAGAAGATGCCAGCGTCCATAGGAAAGCATTGTGAATGCTTTCCTATGGACTGTCTGAATGCGCACGCGGCTCTTGCCGCGCATGCGCATTCAACCGGTGACGGAAGAAGAGGGAGGAGAGCTCCCCGCCCAGCGCTGGAGAAAGAGGTAAGTTTAACCCCTTCCTCCCCCCCAGAGCCTGGTGGGAGGGGGTCCCTGAGGGTGGGGGCACCCTCAGGGTACTATAGTGCCAGGAAAAAGAGTGTGTTTTCCTGGCACTATAGTGGTCCTTTAAACTACAACTGATGACCTGTGTAATATACAGAGATGAGATACATATACTACATAATAGGGACCTAAGTATTATATGAAAATAATGGGATTCTGGAGACATTAAAATAAACCTTATGACTAAGAAACAAGAATCCTGAAATGGCATTGATTTCTAAAAGTCTTTTCTGTTACTTGTTTTGTACACTTTCGGCTAAGATTAATATGTTAGGGATTGGGTGTCATAGTGAAGTAGTTGGCGTTATTAATAATCTGCACATCAGAGCCAAGTACTAAATGTATGCATTTTTATAGTCGCTGATGTGATATAATCGCTAACGGATGGGGGCTCCGGAGGTGGAGACAAAAATGACAAAGGGGGAACCATTGTTTTCAGCCTGGCCCCTACTCATTAGCAGTGAGTGGGGGCCCTAAGTGACCCACTACTTATTCTCCCTCAATTAGTAGTGGGTGGGTGGCCTAAGTGACAAAAGGGGAGGAACCTTATTGTCCCCCACAGCTACTTGTAAAAATAAAGTCCTCCCCGCCCACAAGTCCCCAAGCCCCTAGTCACCCTCACCCACCCAATAAACTATAAACCTACCTACCCCCCACCCTAATAATATTGAGGGGGGAGGCGGGGAGTGTGACTGACCACCTGGCACCTCAACCCGGCACCTCTGCCAATCGCTGCTTCCTAGTGATTACCGAGTACCACAACCACCACACCAGACACCATCAGCACTATAGTTGCACTTCCAGCGTTACCGCTTGGTTGGGGTGTCTCTGTCCTCCACCCACAATGGACCCAAGACCAAGAACCAGTTTCCAGTGGGTAGACCTCTCATCCAAGAGAGTGTAGCAATAGTGATTATAATCCCAGGTGATTATAGTGATGTAGCAATCCCCAGAGTAGATACAGCTGTTTCCCCCCACACATTTATTGGCAGCTACAACTGGCCTTATATGCAGGTCCACAACCAAGGGGCACACCCCCGTCGTCCTGAGAGTAGACTACAGTAAAAACATACACACGATAACATTGGCTCTCAGGTCCAGGACACTCCCATATAAAATCGGTCAATCCCTCCCCTGTGCATAGGAGATAATTGAGTCAGGAACTGTACTAAAGGCCATTATCTCCAGGCACAGAAAACATACGTTTTAACTAGGGATCGACCGATATTGATTTTTTAGAGCCGATACCGATACCGATATTCTGTGAACTTTCAGGCTGATAGCTGATATAATTTGCCGATATTCTGTACATTTACCATTTTGTAAAATAAAAACTATTTCTAAAGGTAAATGCACAAAATATACATGCCACGTGTAGTGGATGCAGTGTGACAGGGGAGCTGTGTGTTTGTGTGGTGTGTGTGTAGTGGATGCAGTGTGTGTAGTGTGTGTGGAGGATGCAGTGTGTGTTTGTGTAGTGGGTGCAGTGTGTGTTTGTCTAGTGTGTGTAGTGGATGCAGTGTGTATTTTTCTAGTGTGTGTAGTGGATGCAGTGTGTATTAGTGTAGTGTGTATATAATGAAAGCAGAGTGTGTAGTGTGTGGGTAGTGTACGTAAAGTGAATGCTGTATATACTAAATGCAAAGTGTGTGTATATAATGAATGCAGAGTGTGTCTGTATTTGTGTAGTGTGTGTATAGTGAATGTAGTGTGTTTATATAATGCAGAGTGTGTGTGTGTTTGTATAGTGTGTGTATATAATGCAGTGTGTTTGTGTAGTGTGCATTATATAAACACACTGCATTATATACACACACTGCATTATATAAACACACACTGCATTATATGCACACACTGCACAAACACACTGCATTATATAAACACACACTGCATTATATAAACACACACTGCATTATATAAACACACACTGCATTATATAAACACACACACTGCATTATATAAACACACCCTGCATTATATAAACACACACTGCATTATATAAACACTACACAAACATACTGCATTATATAAACACTACACAAACATACTGCATTATATACACACTACACACTGCATTATATACACAGTGTGTTTGTATAGTGTGTGTGTGTGTATATAATGCAGTGTGTGTGTGTTTGTAGTGTGTGTGTATATAATGCAGTGCGTTTGTATAGTGTGTGTGTATATAATGTAATGTGTGTGTGTGTTTGTATAGTGTGTTTGTATAGTGTGTGTATATAATGCAGTGTGTGTATTTGTGTGCATTGTATACACATACACACACTATACAAACACGCACACTGCATTATATACACGGTGTGTTTGTGTAGTGTATGTGTATATAATGGAGTGTGTGAGGGGGCATTTTTTATTAAATTATAATTTTTTTTTTTTATATTTAATTATTTGTTTTTGTTGTCCCCCCTCCCTGCTTGTTACTTGGCCAGGAAGGGGGCATATAGCAGTCCCTGGTGGTCCAGTGGTATTGGCTGAGCTTTGGGGGGGCGGGCAGCAAGCGCTTACTCACCTTCCAGCAGCTCCTCCAGCTCCCCAGTACAATTCTCGCAGCCAGCGTGTCGCGCGGAGCGTTGCCATGGTGATCCATGGCAACGCTCTGACGGCCACGGGTCTCGCAAGAGTTGCACTGGGGAGCTGGAGGAGCTGCTGGGAGGTGAGTAAGCGCTTGCTGCCCGCCCCCCCCAAAGTTCCCCTAGGAGGTATTATCGGCAATATCGGTATCTGAATTGGCCGATACCGATATTGCCGAAAATACCGAATATCAGCCGATTATATCGGTAAAACTGATAATCGGTCGATCCCTAGTTTTAACAACCTCCCGAAAGTACCCCTAAAACTCATGGAAACCCCACAAAAGTCACAGCCCCGATCTGGGGGACCAACATATCAAAAAATCACCCAGATCGGTTCAGGGGTTCGAGATTTCCATGGAGGTCATAATTTGACCGACCGCCCATGAGGCTCCTGCCCAAAACCGTTCCATGAAATCAGACTGTCTCTTTCGGGAGTTCACAATACAACATTATACGAATAAAACTGTTCGTATGTGCACTTAGTCTGTCTCTCTTGTTCGGGAGTGTATTTACACCGAACCCCGCTCTTCTCAAGTGAATCTAGCCAAATGTACGAAGAGATGGAAGTCTCAGCAGTGTTTGCGCTGTCCAGTGTCTGATTATAATTACATGCACTTGACGACCAAACTCTGCTGTATGTGTACGCAGCTAAAGATTGCCGCTGCCACGTATTCCCACATACGAACGACTGCCACCCAGCTAACCACTAAGAACATTGCGGTTAACGCGGTCAATAAGGATAATAAGCAGCACACAACTGTTCTGGGTGGTCAGTCCATTTGAAAGTTAATTCCGTATATATGAACAGCATTAGTCTAATTTGTTCAGTAAGCCCCATATACTGAACCATATCCGTACAAAACGCACAAACACATGACGTGATGACGTGTCTCCCGTTGCTGTAGCGACGGGGATAGTGTATGGTTACTCGGGAAACCAGTGTAAACATCCACCGTGTATGGAGGATTGTGTTTAAAACAGTGATCGCATATAGCAAATGAGATTACTATATATCTAAAAGGTATATCTATTGCATGCAAGCTCTGCCTAAAACATAGTAAAGAGTTACAAGTAAAAAAAACTTACACATTACATATTAATACATATTAACACATTGATAAGAGAATACTGGACTTATATATCTGATTATGAAAATAATTTACATAGGCACGATTTAAATATTGCTGTGTATTATATTTAAGATACCGTGCATATAGTAATATTTAAAGTGCTAAAGAGGTGCAAGTTTAGTAAAGTAAGACAATATGCCTATAAAGTGCAGCCATATGTTTATGTGCAATATTTATAATAAAGTGCTATTATGTGATAGTAAAGTCAAAAAGTGCCTGAAAATGTGTGGAAAAATATCATATAAAAGGGCAAAAATAGAGTGGAAAAAGATTTTATATATATATATAAAATCTCCTATATAATTTTTCAAATCTGGCCAGTTGTCTTAATCAATGATTTATGTAATCAATCAGTATATTAAAAGAAACATGTATAACGTCATACTACGTGTATTTTTTTTTTTTAATATATACATATATTAATATGAAAATACTTAGAGTAAAATTACACACGTGTGTATTTTTTATATATAATTATATATTGTGTGTGTGTGTGTGTATATATATATATATATATATATATTATAAAAAAAAATAATTAAAAATAATTTAAAAAAAATATATGTAATTTTATTCTAACTGTATATCAAAATACACTTGGAATAAAAAAAAAAAAATATTTATATACGTCCAATACAAAAACGGTCGTTAAGGACAAATAGGAGGCCTGGACCGGCGATCACTGTCAGTGGCGATCACCCCAGCAGTCCCCCTGCAGCACCTGTGGTCCTCCAGAGCCATGACCTTGGTTGGCTTAAGCCAACTAGCCAGAGTGCTTTGACAGGTAAATCTTGAGTCTTGCAGGTAACCAGTTGCACTGTGTTCCATGCCATGCAGAGCACACGCTTGGGGAGGATGGATTATTTTTTCTTGTCTAGATTTTTTTTTCATTTTATTAGTTCGATGGGCTTTACGTAGTTTTATTTGGCCTTTTTTGGGGTTAACAGAAGATTTTAGAAAAGACCTCTAATGATACAGAGAGGGACAGAATTGTGCAGGAATTCTTTTGACTGTCACTTCCTCACACTGCTGACATCATGAAAGGGAACTGGTCGCGCTGTTAAAGGACCACAGTGTTGACCGGGCCCCTGAAGACACATTGCCACTGGGTGCATGGGCCACCCAATGGGTTCCCAAAGTGTGCGGGCCCTGGTGCAGCTGATGCAGAGTTCTGACGCTGTAATAATATAGATCCCCACCCCATTTTGTAATTTAGGGCCTCCATCTGCCTCTGCATGGGGTGCAGGAGAGGACACTAGGCCCCTGTTTAGTTTAATAGCCCACACTCGTGACTTATGGGTGAAGGCTACCTACCTCCCCCATGAATTAATGTAATAGAGCTCCCTCCTTGTAATACAGTAAACGAACAAACAGAACTTCTATTCATTTGTCTTTCTGATGAATTAATGAATAGCCAAAATTCACGTCCAAAATTCGGACAATAGCGAATGCCTAAGTGTTAAACTCTGCACTTAGATGGCGATGCCTAGGACATAGATCCGGGCAAAATATAAAGAGTTTATTTATTTTTTTTTTTTTTTAAGTTACAATGGAAGATCTCAGGGCATTTGGCGGTGACTGGGATGACAATCAAATGTAGTGGAATCAGGAGAGGGTTAAAAAACAAACCAACACAAAGCCCACATGTGGCCATGACAGTGCCGCTTTAAAAAGCACTCTTAACCTCTTAAGGACCAAACTTCTGGAATAAAAGGGAATCATGACATGTCACACATGTCATGTGTCTTTAAGGGGTTAATCAGGTGGTTTTTGTGGCATAGATGCTGTTCCTACATCCTTGCGGTTTAAAACTGTGAATCTCATGAGAGAGAGCAATATTTTCATGTTTGTCAATCTGATGGCCATTACGAGCTTCTGACACAAATAGATTCAACAATTTAATGTTAACACCAGACTCTGTGTGTCTAATACTTATGTGTGAAAAATTGGCAGATTGGACAAAAGCCGTCTGTATTGAGGACTTGAGCAAGGGAGGATTGTGCATCAGAGGAGTCTTTCCCAACACTGTGCTCATTGCTCCCCCACCCCTTTAAAGGTAGTGTATGGGCTAAGGGGATGTGTTAACTCATACACTACCAATGCTGCTTTGAGATAAGTGGCTGTTACAGTGCTGCAAGGTAGCTACTTCTGCTGCTGCTGCTGCTGCCATTGATACAGCTCAGCAAAAGCTGCATTTAAAAAGGCGACCGCTTCCACTAAACCATTGAAAACCAAGGCATGTATGTCCTGGTTCTGCCCAGGATTATGGCCTCTAGACTTCTGCTGTGTATAATTCCTGCATTGTATAAGGTATGGGCTAACACTATGGAGTAAAAAACATGAGCTGTCCAAATAATAACAAGGTATTCAACCAGGAAAGGTTCATTCAGATTACACTGGTTTTCAAGCAAGCCCTGGAGATGTTACCTTAGCCCAACATCCAGGGGTTGTTACTAAATCATGATCGACTTTTCAAAAAATTATATTGCATAGTGTCATTGACTCTAAGTGTCAGTGTAGTGCAGGTAAATAAATGTCCTGGCCTTCAAAAATTAGTTTTGAGTTTTGCTTAATCATGCCCTAACCCTAATTAGAAAAACAAACTTGTGATATAAATGATAGCTGAAGTGTTTATTTGGCAGTAATTAATGCCTTCTTGGGGTTCCCTTGCTATTGAGGAAATGTGTTTTTTCATTCATTCTCACATATACCTTTTATGACTATCTCAATCATAAAATTTGTGTTTGTAATATGAAAAAAATTAATGGAAAAAGAAAAACGCGCACACACCTTTTACCTAAGAAGCGTTATTACACTTATTTTAGTACATAGTTCTAGTTGTCTATTTACTCTTTTTAGAAATCCCTTCCCTCATCGTACATTTTGGCCACTCACCATTTCACCATGGTTTCTGCTTTTTTTTTTGCTTTTTTTTTTTTAAGGGGAAATTGCAATATTTCCTCTTTATTTCATTACATACTCCCACCCCCTTTCATGTTTCTAAAGAAATGTAAGGGCACTTTAGAGGAGTATACATGTTAATATGTTGCTGTGTTTCCAGCATGACATCTTGAGATTAGATTTCTGGGCAGCTGTGCTTCAAGACTTTCATAGGACATGTTAAAGCAGATTTTCCGTCCCAAGACCAGGATGAAAGAGGCAAGTTCCTTAGATCATGGTTTATGGAGTTGTGCAATCAATTTTATATTCTAGTATATGGAGCTCTATCTTTCCTCATCTTTCTTTGTAACAGGTGATACCTGACATTACTTGGGAATAGAGCTTTTTCGTTTTGCACAAGATATTACCATGAGTTGGTGGTCTTTAGAAAGAGAATATTGTGTTTTTACTTAAACGCAATATTGTATACTCAAGTTCTTATACTACTGCCAAGCAGTGCATAAGTTAAGTATACTAATATGTTTTTGAAAAGTATTTGGGTGGTACACCTGATTGCTAAACTATCAAATCTTGATTACTTTTCATTTTATTTACTTTTGTAGTCTTTTAATAGTCATAGAAGAAAGAGGAAGTATATATGTGTGTACACTCAAATACGCAATAGATATATAGCTCAAAGTAAAAACATGGTAAACTCATCTTTTCCATTCCTTGCATCACAAGGGGAATTTCACAACATAATTGAAGAGACTGCCACAACAATAATTTTTAGCTTTTAGCTTGGATCCAAGAAAATAAATAAATATATGTATGTATGTATATATGTGTGTGTGTGTATGTATATATATATGTGTGTGTGTGTGTATATATATATATATATGTGTGTGTGTGTGTATATATATATGTGTATGTGTGTGTGTGTGTGTATATATGTGTATGTGTGTGTGTGTGTATATATATGTATATGTGTGTGTGTGTATGTGTGTATATGTATGTATATTGTATTTTATCTTTATGTCCAACTGTACTTTTGAGATGATCAATAACCGTATATTTTGAGAGACACAGTGTAGGTTATGGTGGGTGTGTGTTCTATACAGAAGGTGACGCCCTAATTTATTTTGTGTGTATTCCGGTACTACGGTGGAGGTGGAGGTGGAGGAAGTTGAAATGTATGCATTTTTAACTAAACTGCTTTCAGTTTCTGAAGATAACTGATTAAGGGGTGATTAGGGTTGTTGGCAACAAAACCTTTCCTTTTGGCCTTCTGCCTCTCTCTTTGTGGGCACTGGGTCCCATGGAGAAGGATGTCAAAATCCCAGGATTGTGGACGTTGTTGTCTCTTTTTATGCAGAAAAAGCCGAGGGACAAGTCTCGCTGTTCTATCCCAGAGAGGGAATTCCTGGGAAGCCAGGTCAGTAGCTAAATAGGCATACTGGTAGAAACTTTTTGATTCTGGGTTTTTATTATTAAGCCAGAGAAATATTTTCTTTCTTTGTGATGGAGTTGCGTCTACTTGAATTTTAAGTTGAGTGCCTGACCACTTCCTGTGAATTTTAGTAGCTAAGTATGTACTTGTTTTATATATTTTGTCACATTAGTATTTCCTGTTGAACTGTTCTGTTTTAAATGCTTCTCTGAGTTTGTGATGATGATTTATCTTAATAACAGCTTTGTCAGATTTGAGGAAGAATACAGTTTACATCGTTGCAAATAATTTACTTCTCTCTGTAATCCAAGACATCACACAATAATTTACTGGGTATAATTAGGGATAACCACACACGAAAAGGACTTGGGAATTGTTATAGACACCAAACTATGCAACAATGTGCAATGTCAATCAGCAGTGGCCAAGGCCAGTAAGGTATTGTCATGCATGAAAAAGTGCATTCATTCTCGGGACAAGAATATAATTTTGCCTCTTTATAAATCACTGGTAAGACCCCATATTGAATATGCTGTGCAATTTTGGGCACCTGTTCTAAAGAAGGATATTATGGCACTAGAAAAAGTGCAGAGACGGGCTACAAAATTAATAAAAGGAATGGAACATATCAGCTATGAAGAAAGGTTAACAAATTTAAACCTATTTAGTTTAGAAAAACGTCACCTTAGAGGGGATATGATAACATTATACAAAGATATTCGGGGCCAATACAAACCATTGTGTGGAAATCTATTCACAAACCGGACTTTACATAGGACACAAGGTCATGCTTTTTGACTGGAAGAAAGAAGATTTCGTCTAAGGCAAAGGAAAGGTGTGTTTTGTTTTTTTTACAGTAAGAACAATAAGGATGTGGAATTCTCTGCCTGAAGAAGTGGTTTTATCAGAGTCCATACAGATGTTCAAACAGCTACTAGATGCATACTTGCAAAAACAGAATATTCAAGGATATAATCTTTCAGTGTAGGGTAATAACTGCTTGATCCAAGGATAAATCTGACTGCCATTCTGGGGTCAAGAAGGAATTTTTTTTTCCTAGCTTGTTGCAAAATTGAAAGTGCTTCATACTGGTTTTTTTTTTGCCTTCTTTTGGATCAACGGCAAAAAACAAATGTGAGGAAGGCTGAACTTGATGGACGCAAGTCTCTTTTCATTCATGTAACAACTACTCTAATCTAAACCATCTATCTGGTCTTCTCTAATCTCGCACTGCATCTACTACACACACATACACTCGCACTGCATCCGCTGCGCGCACTCGCACTCCATCCGCTGCGCGTGCGCACTCCATCCGCTGCGCGTGCGCACTCCATCCGCTGCGCGTGTGCACTCGCACTGCATCCGCTGCGCGCGCTCGCACCACATCCACTGCGCTCGCACTGCATCCTTTATACACACACACACACTCGCAGTGCGAGTGTGTGTAGTGGATACAGTGCGAGTGTGTGTGTAGTGAATGCAGTGCATCTACTACACACACACACACTCACACTGCATCCACTACACACACACACACACACACAAACACACAGATATTCTTGAAAACATAAAAAATCTGACAGGCAGGTATATTTTTTTGCATTTACTACTCAATTAAAAAAAATTTTACAAAAAAAACAAAAACATTAAATAATAAACATATTCAGTTTATGGCAGATTTATGTCGAAATTGTGTGGTTTTTGTTTATTTTTTTTATTTTTTTCAAAACTGTAAATGAACAGAATATCGGTACGAGTTATCGGCAATTGGCCTGAAAGGCGACCGATAATCGGTATCTGCTCTTAAAAAAATTATATTGGTCGTTCTCCAATGCATAGTATCATGGTCTAGATCCTTCCCAGTTTTTATGATGATTAGAATATTTAGTGCAATCTAAAGCAGTGCTCCTCAACTATTTCTCACCCAAGGCACACCAAAGCACTTCCCAGAATTCCGTGGCACACCACAAGCAATAATATGTATTTTTAAAAATATATAGGAGTAATAAAGTGCATACACAGAACAGTGTCACTTTGCCCATTAAACATGCCAAGCCAGGTGCCTGTTAATAAATCACAGTAGGTTTTCTAATTAAAAAATACCATAGTAAGTTTGCCTGTGTATTAATGGACAAACTTACTGTGATATTTAATAATGCCACAGTAAGTTTGCCTATTAATAAATATCACTGCCAGTGTGCCCATTAAAGGGAAACTATTGTCACAAGAACATCTACAGCTTAAAGGATCACTATAGTGTCAGGAAAACAAAGCGGTTTTCCTGACACTATAGTGCCCTGACGGTGCCCCCACCCTCAGGGTCCACCTCCCAGTTACTTACTTTAACCAGCGCCGGGCTCCCTCGGCACTGGTGACCTCTCCTCCCCGCCCGACGTCAGTGGAGACGAATGTGCATGTGCCGCGCGCGCATTCAAAGTATCCATAGGAAAGCATTTCTCAATGCTTTCCTATGGACGCTCTGCGAGATGGATGCAAAATTCACACTCCGCGTCGCAGATGTGCCTATAGTGGCTGTCCGGAAGACAGCCACTAGAGGCTGGATTAACCCCAAATGTAAACATAGTTTCTGTGAAACTGCTATGTTTACTTCTGAAGGGTTAAAACCTGAGGGACATTGCACCGACACCACTTCATTGAGCTGAAGTGGTCTGGGTGACTATAGTGTCCCTTTAATGTAGTTGTTCTGATGAGTATAATCATTCTCTGCAGGCATTTTCATGGGACAGTCTTGGGATTTTGAGTTTTTGCTCTGTACTTTGGAAACCGTGTGTCTTTTAATAGGGATCACACAAGGAGGTTTCCTTGAATTGATAGTGCAGTTCTTGTGGCTTTTAGGTTGAATCACTTCATTTGGGCTTGCATGTAGACAGGGTGGTATAGCAGCTGTGATAGCGTCAGCAGATTGAACTTTAAGTTTTGATTTTCCTCCACGACAGCCCATGTCAGTCCCTTTGAAGATGCAAAGTGATTTTAGGGTAACCACTAGCGAGGGACTGAGTGCAGTGACCCCTTTTTGGGGTCTTAGGGAATACAGATATGAGTGTGTATAGGTGATCATTCCCTCAGCAGTGAATGAGTTAAAATTGCTTCTAGTTTTTGTAGGGATGTTAGCAGTGGGGGCTGGTTACATTTCCCTGCTCTGTAGGATCCAGGCAAGAGTGAGGTTTGCACTTCAGGCTGTATTGTAGATAACAGCATGCATGCAGGTCAGATTACAGGAGTTCAAAACCAATGTGTTTTAGTGAAATAGTTTTCATCAATTGGTTTTCTTAGTGTTTAGAAATGAAATCTGAGCATTGATGAATGGATGATTAAATCCATTTTTTTTCTTTGTTTTTTTTTTTTTTTTTTAAATGTACTTGTTTGTGGTGTTCAGCTAAAGGTATCTCTTCCTGGTAGTAAGATGGTCCAGTGGAAGTATATTTCAATCCGTTGTGTATCTCTGTAATGCCATCCGCTCAGTTTTGGTAAATCCAGTTGAGTGATATGTGGAGTCAATATTGGTCCTTGAAATATTTGTGATGAATTATGAGTGTAAGGAGGTTAAAATTAAGATAATACCAGGAGAGGTCAGTAGCCCGAGAAAAGTGTGGCAGCCAGCAGGGGCATTCTTTATAACGACTGCTTTGAATGCTGATTGAGTGTTCCATTTTGGTTACTTGATAGTTTTTTTTAGTTTATTCATAAAACTTTGCTGCTAGAGTTTTACTAAATAAAGATAATGCATAATATGAGCCACCTGTCTGCGATAAAATTTACAATTCTCTTGATCTCACGGAGAACAATTCCTGTCAGTCTGGGTAAATAAAACGTGTGTGCCGTGGATCGGCACACTACAAGATCAGCAGTAACACATGGAGGGGAGGTTGAAATGAGCTGAGACACATAGAGGGAGAGAATGGAGGTATTGACGCTGCTAGAACTGACCGTCTGAAGGGGAGCGCTTTCCCTGCTGCTGGTCACTTGGGGAACACTCCCCCAGGCAGTTCTTGTAGCCAGTATTGTAAGGCAGGTGTACTGTACTACAGTGCGCCTGCTACTTCCATTAGCTCAGTGGAGTGAATGGAAGTGTCAAACAGTTGAGGAGGCCTTCCTATTTCCAAATACAAAAGTGATAATGTTACCATGAAAATGGCACTTTTGTAAATAGGGATTTTACAGAGATCCTCCATAGCCATTCAGCAAGCTTAAAGGACCACTATAGTGCCAGAAAAACAAACTTGTTTTCCTGGCACTATAGTGTTAATAGGTCTCCCTCCCGCCGGGCTCTAGGGGAAGGAAGGGGTTAAAGGCCTACCTTTCGCCAGTGCCGGGCTCCCTCGGCGCTGGATCAGATTGAACAATAGTGATTTAACTCGTAAATTAAAAAAGAGAATTGAGCAGTAAGACTTCAGGGACATGATCTACACATCAAAACTACTTAAAAGACCAGTATAGTCACCCAGACCACTTCAGATCAATGAAGTGGTCTGGTGCCAGGTCCCCCAGGTTTTAACCCTGCAGCTGTAAACTGCTATGTTTACATTGCAGGGTTAATCAAGCCTCTAGTGGCTATCTTCCTGACAGCCGCTAGAGCTTCTGCGACGCTCAATGCAAAAATCTCATTGAGCACGCAGAACGTCCATATGAAAGCATTAAAGGGACACTATAGTCACCTTAACAACTTTAGCTTAATGAAGCAGTTTTGGTGTATAGAACATGTCCCTGCAGCCTCACTGCTCAATCCTCTGACATTTAGGAGTTAAATCCCTTTGTTTATGAACCCTAGTCACACATCCCTGCATGTGACTTGCACAGCCTTCCATAAACACTTCCTATAAAGAGAGCCCTAGTTAGGCTTTCTTTAGTGCAAGTTCTGTTTAAAGGACCACTATAGTGCCAGGAAAACATACTCGTTTTCCTGGCACTATAGTGCCCTGAGGGTGCCGCCACCCTCAGGGTCCCCCTCCCGCCCGGCTCTGGAAGGGGTAAAAACTTACCCTTTTCCAGCGCTGGGCGGAGAGCTCTCCTCCTCCTCTCCGCCTCCGATCCGCCCCGCCAGCTGAATGCGCACGCGCGGCAAGAGCTGCGCGCGCATTCAGCCGGTCTCATAGGAAAGCATTTACAATGCTTTCCTATGGACGCTGGCGTGCTCTCACTGTGAAAATCACAGTGAGAAGCACGCAAGCGCCTCTAGTGGCTGTCAATGAGACAGCCACTAGAGGATTAGGGGGAAGGCTTAACCCATTCATAATTATAGCAGTTTCTCTGAAACTGCTATAATTATGAAAAAATGGGTTAACCCTAGAAGGACCTGGCACCCAGACCACTTCATTAAGCTGAAGTGGTCTGGGTGCCTAGAGTGGTCCTTTAAGATTTTCTTATCCCCTGCTATGTTAATAGCTTGCTAGACCCTGCAAGAGCCCAAAACGATTTTGAGAGACAAACCTATTTAAACATATGTTTTTCTTCTCCATGTCAATCAATTTTTCGATATACAGACTCTGCCAAATAAATTGATTGTTAAAGACCCCACCAGGTGATCCTTCTTCTCTCCACCCATAGTAACCACAGTGCATGCAAAGTGATTGTTATGGGAACTCCTGAGCCATCACTGCTAGTGCTGGCTAGGGAGTATATTAACGAAGTTGACTGTCAACACTGTTCAGATGGTGGCATGCTAGCAACAAAGACTGCACGTTGGCATCATAGAGGATGTTTGCACTGCTTGGGGAATCGTCCCCTAACTCTTTAATGAGATTGGGATTTTCTAGAAGTAGAGTTTAATAAATGTATGGTATGTACATTCAATGCTTATTTCAAGTTTATTCCTTCTCTTCCTGGTTAGGATGAAGTGGTTGTGAAGGAGATTAATATAACGCATCATGTTAAAGAAGGCTCAGAGAAGGCCGATTCATCACACTTTGTCTTGCTCAAGGTGCTCGGACAGGGATCATTTGGCAAAGTAAGTTTAAAATTAAGCATATCTTCTGTGTCTCTTCAGTTTCTCACTGTCTGCTTTTTCATGTAATTAATTACTATTTTTCCCTTTAAGCCCTAACTTATGACCTGCTAATTGTTTTTTTTTTTCCACTACACTGCATTCTCGGCTCCTCTTTGCCTACCTTGGTTTTTATCAAAGGATGGGAACCACTGCTACAGATTTTCCAAAAATGAATTTCTTTTTACATACAGGTATTCCTTGTACGGAAGGTAACTCCACCTGATGACAACCATTTGTACGCAATGAAGGTCCTTAAGAAAGCCACTCTTAAAGGTCAGAAGTTCGGTTTATTAAACCTCAGCATTATGCAGAATTTATCCAGTGCTAGATCCTCACATGTTGTTTATGTGGCGCAAGATTGCCAAAGCCCTAAAATAAAAAAAAATAAAAAAATTTACAGGTAATAATTTGAACTAGAAGAACAAAATATTTGCAGAACAAATGGCTAATCCTCATAATTAATTAAAAAATAATAGAAAAAAAATCACAATAAAACAGAAAAATATTAGGCAGACATATTTAAATGTGTCTTACAAAAAAG